AGCAAACTTTCACCTTTAGATCAAGATTCCCAATGTGATCAATGGTCCAAATAATTTACTGCCAAAGATGTAATTTTGAAAGCTCTTAGATCAAATGAAAAGATTATTTTACCTCTAATACAAAGTTTTTCTTCTTTAGGCCATTTTCCTAGAAATCAATGCTCTCATGATCTAAAGCATTTCACAAAAATCTAGCCTTAGGAAGGTCAAATTATAAAAATACCTTTTAGGGTATTTTTATAATTTCACACCTCCAAGGTGTGATCTGGGTTTCCAATGCATAAGAAATTCTCAAAAAATATGTAATTATGATCTGTAAATTTTCACTACAATTCGTTTTTGAAAAGGTCAAAATACAAAAATACTCTTAAAATGAATTTTGGTAATTTTACGCTTCTCGAAGTGCAATCAAGGTTTCTAGTGCTTTAAAATTACAAATTTCAATTTTAATCGACATTGGTTCCAATTTGAATATCACAAATTCATCCAAATCCAAAATTCACCCTTGTTTTTGTTTCAAGGATCAAACTTTCACCCTTGGATCAAATTTCCAATGTGACCCAATGGTCTAGATTGTTTACTGTCAAATATGTACTTTTCAAAATTCTTAGATCACATGAAAAGATCATTTCACCCTTAATACAAAGTTTTCAGTCTTTAAGCTATTTTCTTTGAAATTAAAGTTCTCGTGTTCACTTTTATGATTTTAAAGTACAAAAAATATGAAATAATATGAGACTAAAATCTAGAAGGTTTCATGAAAATTTGACTATAGGAAAGTCAAATTATGAAATTACCAATAAAAAGTATTTTGGTAATTTTGCACCTTTCGTGTGCTATTATGGTTTTGAATGCACAAAAAATTATGAAATATTTTAAAAATATAATCTGAAAAGTTTCACAAAAAATTGACCTTGGGAAGGTCAAATTACAAAATTACCTTTAAGGGTTAATTTCACACCACCCAAAGTGTGATCTCAATTTTTAATGCATCAAAAATCCTAAAAAAAAATTCAACTATGATATTAAAATTTTCACAAAAATTTAACTTTAAAAAGGTTAAATTACGAAAATACTCCTAATGGTATTTTGAAAATTTTACGTTTTTCAAAATGCAATTAAGGTTTTTAATGCTTTAAAATGATAAATTACTATCACAAATTCATCTAAGGGTCCAAAATTCACCCTTGTTTTTGTTTCACGTAGCAAACTTACACCCTTGGATCAAGATTCCCAATGTGATCCAACAGTCCATATTGTTTACTACCAAAGATGTGATTTTGATAACTCTTGAATCAAGCAAAAAGATCATTTTGCCTAAAATATAAAGTTTTCGGTGTTTAGGCCATTTTCTTGGAAGTTGATACTTTTGTGTTCATTTTTTTATGATTTTAAAGCACTAAAAATCATAAAATAATATGAAACTAAATCTGAAAAGTTTTGTAAAAATCTAACATTGGGAAGGTCAAATTACAAATTACCTCTAATAAGTATTTTGATAATTTCACACATTTCAAGGTGCTACCATGATTTTAAATGCATCAAAAGTCATCAATATTTTAAAAGCATGACCTAGAAAGTTCATGAAAAATCGATTTTGAGAAGGTCAAATGATCAAATTACCTTTAAAGGGTATTTGCTAATTTCACATCTTCCAAGGCATGATTAATGTTTTCAAAATTCTAAAAGTCATCAAATAATATCAAACCATGATCTAGAGCATTTTCCAAAATTTCAACCTTGGAAAGGTAAAATGACAAAATTACCCCTAAAGGTATTTTTGTAATTTCACACCTTCTAATGAGTGATTTGGGTTTTTTATGAATCAAAAATCCTAAAAAAAATTCAATTATGATCTATAAATTTTCATGAAAATTTAACTCCAAAAAAGTCAAATTACAAAAATACTGCTAAAAGATATTTTGGTAATTTTATCTTTCTTGAAGTGCGATTAAGGTTTTTAAAGCTTTAAAATTACAAAATTCAATCTTAATCTACATTGGTTCCAATTTGATTGTCACAAATTCATCCAAAGCTCCAAAATTCACCCTTGTTTTTATTTCAATGAGCAAACTTTCACCTTTAGATCAAGATTCCCAATGTGATCAATGGTCTAGATTGTTACTGCCTAAGATGTAATTTTGAAAGATTTTGGATCAGATGAAAAACCATTTGGCCCATAAAACAAAGTTTTCGTTCTTTAGGCCATTTTTTTTTAAAATTGATGCTCTTATGTTCATTTTTGTGATTTTAAACCATTAAAAATATGAAACAATATGAAAATAAAATCTTAAAAGCTTCATGAAAATTAGATATCAAAAAGGTCAAATTACGAAATTATCCTATTTTGGTAATTTCACACTGCCCAAGGTGCTGTCATGGTTTTGAATACTCCAAAAATCATCAAATATTTTAAAAGCATGATCTAAAAAATTTTGCAAAAGACTAACCTCGAAAAAGTCCAATTATGAAATTATCCTTCAAGGATATTTTGGTAATTTCATACCTTCTAAGGTGCGATTAAGGTTTTCAAAATTTTAAAAATTATCAAATAATATCAAACCTTGATTTGGAACATTTCACAAAATTTCAATCTTGAGAAAGTCAAATTATGAAAATACCCCTAAAGGTATTTTTGTAATTTCACATATCTCAATGTGTGATTTGGGTTTTTATTGCATAAAAATTTTAAAAAATATGCAATTATGATTTGAAATTTTTCATATTTAAAAATTTTCATGAAAAGTCGACTCCGAGAAAGTCAAATTACGAAAATACTCCTAAAAGATAGTTTAGTAATTTTACACTTCTCGAAATGCAATCGAGTTTTTCAATGCCTTAAAATCACAAACTTCAATCTTAATCCACATTAGTTCCAATTTCATTCTCACAAATTCATCTAAGGGTCCAAAATTCACTTTTGTTTTTGTTTCAAAGAACAAACTTTCACCATTGGATCAAGATTCCCAGTATGATCTAACGGTCCAAATTATTTACTACTAAATAAGTGATTTTAAAAGCTTTTGGACCAAATGAAAATATTATTTTGCCCTTAATACATAGTTTTCAATCTTTAGGCCATTTTTTTCAAAATCGATGCTTTCATATTCATTTTTGTGACTTTAAAGCACCAAAAATCATAAAATAATATGAAACTAAAATCTAAAAAGTTTCGTGAAAATCCGACCTGAGAAATGTCAAATTATGAAATTACCCTTGAAGGTTATTTTGATAATTTACACATCCCAAGGTGCAATGATTGTTTTGAATGCTCCAAATATCATCAAATATTTTAAAAGCATGATTTAGAAAGTTTTGTGAAAATTCAACCTTGGAAAAGTCAAATCACAAAATTATCCTTATAATGTATTTTAGTAATTTCACACATTCTAAGACGTGATCAAGGTTTTCAAATCATAATCTAGAGCATTTCGTGAAATTCTAACCTTACAAAGGTTAACTTACAAAAACACCCCAAGGGTATTTTTGTAATTTTACATTTTTTCAAGGTATGATCTAGGTTTTTAATGTATAAAAAATCCTTAAAAAAATTCAATTATAATCTGAAAATTTTTACAAAAAATTGACTTTGAGAAGGCCAAATTATGAAAATATCTCTAAATGATATTTTGGTAATTTTACCTTTCTCAAAGTGCAATCAAAGTTTTTAGTGCTTCAAAATCACAAATTTCAATCTTAATATACATTTGTTCCAATATGATTATCACAATTTCATCTAGGGGGTCCAAAATTCACATTTGTTTTTGTTTTAAAGAATAAATTTTCATTCTTGTATCAAGATTCCTAACGTAATCCAATGGTCCAAATTATTTACTGCCAAATAAGTGATTTTTAAAGCTCTTAAATCATGTAAAAAGATCATTTTATCCCTATTACAAAGTTTTCAATTTTTAGAGTATTTTCTTGGAAATCGATACTCCTGTGTTCATTTTTGTGATAGAAGCTACAAAAAAATCATAAAATAATATGAAATTAAAATATAAAAAATTTCATGAAAATTCGACATCGAAAATATCAAATTACGAAATTATCCCTAAAAAATATTTTGGTAATTTCATACATCCCGAAAGTGCAGCCATAGTTTTGAATTTACAAAAAATTATCAAATATTTTAAAAGTATGATATGAAAAGTTTCACGAAAAATCGATCTTGGGAAGCTTAAATTACGAAATTACTTTTAAGAGGTATTTTGATAATTTCACACATTTTAAGGTGCAATCAAAGTTTTTAAAATTCTAAAAATCATCAAATAATAGTAAACTATTCTTTAGAGCATTTTGTGAAATTTCAACCTTAAGAAAGTTAAATTATGAAAATATCTTTAAAGGTATTTTTGTAATTTCACACCTTCGATGGTGTGATCTAGGTTTTTAATGCATCAAAAATCCTAAAAAAATTCAATTATGATTAGAAAATTTTAACAAAAATTTGGCTTCGAGAAGATTAAATTATGAAAATATCATCAAAGTGTATTTTGGTAATTTTACTTATTCGAAATGCAATAAAGTTTTTAATACTTTAAAATCATAAACTTCAATTTTAATCAACATTGGTTCCAATTTTATTGTCACAAATTCATCCAAGGATCCAAAATTCACCTTTATTTTTGTTTGAAATAGCAAACTTTTACCTTTTGATCAAAATTTTCAATGTGATCCAACGTTCAAAATTGTTTATTACCAAAGATATGATTTTTAAAACTTTTGCATCTAAGTAAAAATATTATTTTTACCTCAAATACAAAGTTTTCAATCTTTAAATCATTTTATTGAAAAACGAAGCTCTTGTGTTAATTTTTGTAATTTTAAAACACAAAAAAATTATAAAATAATATAAAATTAAAATTTAAAAATTATGTGAAAATTTAATCTCCTAAAAGTCAAATTATAAAATATTTTATTTTTGTAATTTTATACTTTTGAAAATGCTTCATAATTTTGAATACTCTAAAAATCATTAAATATTTTAAAAATATAATATGAAAAATTTTCAAAAAAAATCGATTTCGAAAATATTAACTTACGAAATTACGTTTAAAAATAGAATGATCATTACGGCTTTTGAGTCAATTGCAATTGGTTGGCGATATTTAGACGATAGGCTTACATCTCTGGTGATCTAAGTTCAGGTAACTCGCTCTTCCATAACCACTCATGCTCGCCGCTGTCTTAACTTCTCTCATTCCTTTATCTTCTTCCTTGAACTCAAACCAAAATCCTTCCAAAACCCTAAGAGGAAATCCCTCTTTTAACAAAAATTTTGAATTCTCTATCTCGGAAAACCCCAATAATGGCCCCATTAAGATGCCTACAGCTCCGTGGATGAAGGCTCCTCTCCTTCTCCAACCCCGTGAAGTGTTAAACCCTTCAAAACCCACCACCAAAAAGTGCTCAAACAGAAATGCTAAGGCACCTGACAAGGCATTGTTTGCTAAGGAAAGTGGGGTTAGAGGGAAGAAAGTGATGAAAAAGATCATTAGAAACGTGGAAAAGCTACAAAGAAATGCTGTTTTGGAAGATACCCAGATTGGGATTTGTGAAGAATTCGAGCTGGGGAATTGGTTGGAGGAGATTGGAAGAGATGGAGAAGCGAAGAAATATGATGCAAAAATGCCTTGGTTGAGAGAAGAAGAGAAAGTTATGTTTAGGAGGATGAAAAAGGAGAAAGTTTTGACTCAGGCTGAGATTAGTCTTGATGAGGATTTGCTTGAGAGATTGAGAAGGAAGGCTATGAGAATGAGGAAATGGGTTAAGGTGATGAAAGCTGGTGTAACTCAGGCTGTTGTTGATGAGATAAGGTTGGCTTGGGGGAAGAATGAGCTTGTAATGGTGAAATTTGGCGTCCCTTTGTGTAGAAATATGGATAGAGCAAGAGAAATTGTTGAGGTTTGTTTTCTGTTGATTTCTTTTGCGTTTTTGTTTTCTTGAGGATTCTTCTTTTTATTGATAGTTTTTTGTTTTATGTTAGAAGTTTCAAGGCTGTTTATTGTTGGTCATATATCTTTTATAATTTGAAAAGGTTACAATATGTTTAGAACCAAATGAAAATAGGATTCATTACAATTCAATTCTAGAAAAGAATACTTGATAGGAATATTCATGTATTAAGGAAGAGGATTATTGCATGAAAGGGTATTTTAAGGTAACATTTTCTCTCTTCATATGCAAATAATAATAATTTTTATGTGTTTTTTAATGATTAGTCGATTATAAATAATCATTTAAGATTATTGTTTGTTATGTTTCAAACATAGATAAATCGGCACATTTTGGATATAACCATATCAAACTTTCTGATGGTTAAATCTTTTCATAACAGATGAAGACTGGGGGCTTGGTTGTATGGAGCAAGAAAGATATTCTGGTTGTATACAGAGGTTGGACTTGGATACATGGGCTGACTTCAAAATTTTCTCTAATGGAGTATTCATCATGTTTTGCCAGTGGTCAAGAAATATCTTCATCTAGAGTCAGTCACCTTACTTCAGGCAATACTATTAATATGTCTCAAGAAAAATCTAATCTACGTGCTTTGGGGAGAAGTTTGTATAGAGAAGACAGAGAAAAGGAGTCTACGCCAACCAGCATCTCTATCAAAGGAGATGAAAATAACCGAACAGTTGTTGGGTCATTGTATGAGAGAGAAACTGATAGATTATTGGATGGTTTAGGACCTCGCTTTATTGACTGGTGGATGCGAGAGCCACTACCAGTTGATGCAGACTTGCTTCCAGAAGTGGTTCCTGGATTTAGGCCTCCATTAAGGCTTTCTCCTCCAAACACTAGATCAAAATTGAATGAAGCAGAGTTGACATATTTGAGAAAGCTTGCTCATCCTTTACCTTTTCATTTTGCTCTCGGTACCACCTTGTCTATTGTAAACTTATTGGCTAGAATTTACACATGCACCTCAGTGTTGGCATGGGCATTTGTGCATTGTGGTAGACATATGGCATATGCATGTATTATTCCTACCATTAAGTAACTACCATAGACAATAAGGGAAGGGAAAATAATCTAGTCTATCTGGAAAAACATTTGCCTCTGTAATTACTGAGAAGTTATTTTGAGGGTAAATCTGCAATTCCACATTATACATTAGTACTAATTCATTGACAACACTCTTGATGTTTTAAATTTTGTATAACAAATGATGTGCTGGGCTATGCTCTGCTGCTTTGTGTTTCACTAATGTTTGCACTTTTCAAAATTCTTGATTCTGGTTTCTTCTTCTTGCTGAAGGGAGGAATAGGAACCTTGAAGGCTTGGCTGCTATCTTGAAATTATGGGAAAAAAGTCTCATAGCAAAGATTGCTATAAAATGGGGGGATTCAAAATATTGACAATGAGCAAATGGCATATGATCTCAAGGTAAGTCTATAATTCTTTTGACCTGTTACAATCATGGTCTCTGAAGTTTGCTCTATTTATTAAAAACATGGGCAAATCTGTGTTTATATGGTCAACAAACTTGATTTGTGCCATCACTAAGTTGCATCAGGGTGGTTTAAGTGTCATGTCTTTAGAGAACAATATGATGGACCTCTTTGTTAGCCTGACTTGAAATTCTTTTGGTTTAAGGATAAAAATTTTCTGATCAATCCCATGCTTGAATCCATGATATTATTGGGTACAGTGGCTCTGATAGCATTGCTATTATGATTTGATCATAAAAAACCCTGTGTAGGTGAATTTAGGTCTTTATTGAAACTAAGGCTTTTGGAAGGTTCACTGGTAGCCTTCCATGCCTTGAAATCTGGTATAGCCCTATCGGCATGACATGCATGCACATCTATGCTTGCCATTTATGATTATGAACAGCTAAATATATTAAATTTATGATGACTAATACATCTGATTATGCAGAATCTCACAGGAGGAATTTTGTTATTACGCAATAAGTTCCTAATAATATTTTATAGGGGTAAGGATTTCCTTCCTCAAGGTGTTGCTAATTTGGTAGTTGAGAGAGAAATGGCACTCAGAAGATGCCAACTTAATGAAGAAGGTGCTAGAGTGAAAGTGGCTGAAACCTTTCAGGTTGATGATGAACCTTTGGCTAAGAGTAGCACTGTAGGAACTTTATCAGATTTTCATGATATCCAGGCGAAATTTGGAGACCTGGAAAAAGAAAATAATGAATTTGAACTTCAATTGGAAGCTCAAAAGGAAAACTTAGAGAGGGAATTGAGGAACCAAGAACGCAAGCTATCAATTGTAAGATCCCTTCCTCTTTGTTTTTTTTTTTAACTTGTTCTGAATCATTAAACCTCCTACACCATTTTCACCTGTTTAAACTTGTCGCTTTCATGCTTAACATCATATTGTTTCATTTGGGAGTGCTGTTTGCTGACACAATCTTATTTGACTTTGCAGCTTAACATAAAGATAGAGAAGTCAGCTAAAAAGCTAGCAAAGTTGAATTCTTCGTGGCAACCTGCTGAGCTGGATGTGGATCTTGAAATAATTGCTGAGGAGGAGAGAGAATGCTTGCGGAAGATAGGACTGAAACTCCATAGTTGCTTGGTACTTGGTAAGGGAAAGACTGCTCTTCTAGTTGCCAATTGAATCTTTTTTGCTTTCAAATCTATTGATTTGAAAATTTTTGATAGCTTTTATGCTGATATTTCCACCATCTAAATTCACCGATCTTGCCCAGATATCAGTTTCTCTCTCTCTTGATTTATCTTTTGTTTAAATATGTTCAGGTCGGCGTGGGGTCTTTAATGGCGTCATAGAAGGAGTACATCAACATTGGAAGCACAGAGAAGTCGTCAAGATAATCACAATGCAGAGAGTGTTTGTACGAGTCATCCATACTGCAAAATTGCTTGTAGCAGAGAGTGGTGGGATTTTGGTTTCAATTGAGAAGCTAAACGATGGCCATGCTATAATCATATACCGAGGAAAAAATTATCGACGCCCTTTGAAGCTAATGACTGACAATCTTCTAACTAAGAGGGAAGCATTACAAAGGTCTATCGAATTGCAGAAAATTGGAGTAAGCTCTTTTTATTTTTTTCTTCTCTCTCACAAGTTTACTGTTCTTACCATTCTACAGAAATTTTCTATTTAATCTCTTTGTCCACTGTTCGTTTCTAGGCTGAAACATGATCTCTTTCTGTTTTTTTTTTGGGTATCAGTCATTGAAGTTTTTTGCTTACCAACGACGACAGGCAATCTTAGATTCGAAACTCAAACTGGTAAGGATAAAGTTTTTTATTCTCATCAGTGATACACCTACATCTTAAAATAGCTTGTGAAACCTTGTAAACTCCAGTAAAGCAAAGCTTACCCATATTTTCTTATTTACCTTTTAAACTGATGTACTGAAACTTTAGGCCGAGCTAAAGAAAAGAAGAGTTGGTACTCTGCAAGGGTGGCAAGCTGCTGACTAACGGATGTTCTATGAATTGTGATGTCCACTGGAAGTTTCTACTGTAATCAATCATCAATATTATTTGACGATGGCTCTTGGTATCTCGCAAATTGAAAATTTTGAATTATGTAATATTCCATTTTTGGGTCTTGATTCAAGTTTATTATGTATGCAGGCAAAAATGGAGAAAGACTCCTAGATGAGATGGTTGTACATGCTTGTGTGCATCACTATAGTAACAGTGTAGCAAGTTAGCCAAGCTCTTGACTGCCCCTCCTGGGGAAATTCAGACAAGATTTCTTTCTACTTCTTGTAAGTGTTGATTCAGACATTTTAAGCTTGAGATGGTACACAGAAAAAACAGTTGCAAACACTTATTCAGGTGATGATATAACACGATATCCTGAATCCAAGGCAGGACTGGTCAGCCCTGATTATGCCACGTGTTCCTCAATGGTGTTACACCTTATTCCCATATAGTCGTGCAGCCAATTGATTTTTCTTACTTGGTTGAAGTCACTAATTAGTCAATATCTGGTGCAACTTATGGACCAGCAGGGGTTGGTGTGCAGGTTTCTATCTGCATGGTTCATGTTGAAATGCTACAGTTGAGAGGACAGTATCTCAGTATCCATTCTGGCACTCAAGTACATTTGTTCCACTTCCAATCATGGTAGCCACTGAATAATCGTGATATAACACCAGATCCACAAACTGAGCTGAATCTGACAGTGGACTATTTGAGAAGCTTTTGGCATCTCTTAGATGGCATGCTTTGGGTGCAGGAGTAGATTTTCAACATTTAGTGGCATTAAGTAGTGAGCTAGAACAATGAACAACATTCCTATTTAGAGAAGCAATTTCAGGAATGACACTTCAACTTTCATCTAGGACAAGAATTGCACTCCTACTTGGAGAAGCACATGTGAAGAAAATTGATATCCCATCTTTATGCTGTAACAGTTAGCTTCAGTTGCACATTTCTCGTATATTTCTAACTAGTTCAAAGTTAACCTGTTGACAATCTTGCTATCATTTGTTGCCTGCGAAAAACACAATGCCACTAAATGGCAATGGTTAATAATTATTTGGATTAAGTATAACTAATTATGATGTAAGGGATACTTCATTGCCTTGTAGACAGAATAATCAGAGTGTAATTTTCCCGGATTCTTTGGTCCTCTGCTTACCCGCTATGTAAAGATTAATTTATGATTTAGTTAGGTTCATTTGATTGGTATATGGTTCTGATGCTTTAATTATTCATGCAATATTACTATTATTATTGTTGACTCTGGCATGACTGTTATTACGCTTAACAATTCTAATCCATTCAACATATTGGAGACTGTTTGCATCACAGGATTTTCACCTTCTGGCGTCATTTATTGTTATTATGAAATGAGAAAAAGGGAGAGGGATGGAAATTGAAGGAATAGGTTGATGAACTATGAACTTCGAAGTTGCAGATGATTCCTGTAGGAAGATAAAGTGGCTTCTCAATCTGCCATTTGGTTGTTATGATATTGGTTTAGTCAGTCTAGTTTGATAGCTACAAAAAAGTTATCACAAGAAGAAACTTGGTTTGCATGAGTGTTTCTGAATTCATTTACTAAGAATAGCTGTTTTATTATAGTAGGAATGTGGCATTTCTGCCATAGATGTAGGCAATGGCTCTAACATATAAGGTGCATTTCCATGAGAAGATGGTCCTTGTATTGGTTCTTCATAATTGATATGGTAGTTTGCAACCACTCTATTTCCCCTTTGGCTGGAAGTCTTGTCTTTTACTTATACAGCTTGCTTTAAATCTTCTTGATAAGTTCGTCGATACATTTCTGTTTAGGATCCTTCTAGCAGCTCAAGTATCAGTAAGAAGCTTGCATGCCTTACTTTTCCATATTTTGATTACTTGCTCATAAGATTCTCATTATGTTTTGTCATTAATTGTTTCAAATGGCAAGCAGAAGTGCTTCTGGAGAAAGGATATATGGAAGTGGGGGTTTTTGTTGATTGTAAGCATTGAATTTTGTCTTTGTATTTCACTGTCTTGATAGCCCAGCAAAGCACACGTGTCATGCTCGGCCCAGCCCGGTTGCTTCACAGCGTGTCTTGCCAAGCACAAACCACACCTTGCCGAGCCATATCATGCCATTAACTGCCCGGCCTATATGACACCTTAACCTGTATAGGTTGCTTGTAAATCTACTTGATAAGATAGTCGATACTCACACCGTTTAAGATCTTTCATGCATACCTTATTTTTCCATATTTTGATTTATGTTTCTCAGTAATTGTTTCAAATAGTAAGCATGAGTGTTTATATATGGAAGTTGGGGTTTTCGTTGATTGTTGGCATTGTTAGTATTGAAATTTCGTCTGTTTTATGGCAATTTGATTTAAAACTGTCTTTGATAGGTGTCGCTTTTACTTAGTAAAGGTTCTTTTATTGGCCTCCAACCCAAATACGATCAGCTTATTTAATAATCCATTTTCCAAGGGATGGGACTTCCATGATATGGATTTTGACCGGTGTCTTACTATCAATTATTAAAAAGCATAAGACTTGCATAGCTAACTCGGACCATATGTTTCTAGCTGGGAGTGCGATTAAAATCAGTACCTGCAGGCTGAAAAAAGGAAAGAAAAAAGAAAATGAGAAAAACTAAACTTTAAAGAGCCGCATAATATCTTTGGTGATACCTTCCATTTGAATAAAACTAACAGCTTGTTTTGCGCCTTGTTATCAATATATAGTAGTAAACATGCTCCATTAGTTTTCTTGAAATGCTTCTTGATTAATGCTTATTGCTGTTAAGAATTTTGTCTCAAATAGGAATATTGACTCAAAGCAGTTCCCGAAGGCAAGTTTGTTCCAAGGGTTTGAACTGTGCATAGGGATTCTCTCTAATTTTAATTAATCCCCGAAGTTTGAAATTTATTAGATTCTTGAAATATATCCAAATTCAACTTGCAAATAGCAGAACATATATTGGAGACTGTAGCCAGATATTTGACAGCCATGAATTTAGTACTGAATATGATTTAAGAAGTTCACTAGCTGGGTCTGATTACACATACTTTTTTTCATACACTAGATGAACTATATTCATTGTCATCCATGTGAGTTGATCGTGCGAGCAAAGATGTTGCTTGCGAGTTTTCAGGTGATCTTGGAGGAGAAAACAGGAAAGGTGTTGGTGGAATTGACAGATTCAATTCTTCCTTGTAACATCTCTTTGCCTTCCTAATTGATGGTCGATCCGATAGATTACTTTGAATGCACCCAAACTCACTATGATCATCTTTCTCGTTAGTTCTTCATTTTCAATTGTCATTTCTTTAAGTTTCAAATTTGCTTCTTTCAGTCGCTTGTAAATCCATAAAGAAAAATTCGCTTTACTAGTAGGATTATGAATATTTTCTTTTTCTCCAACCATTTCAAGGACTATCATCTCATAGCTATAAACATCGGATGCGAGAGATTACTCTGAAACTTTGGCAAAATACCTCCAGAGCAATATATCCAATAGTTCCTCTAGCATTTATGGTAGAAATAGTACTATCCTTCCACTCAAATAATTTTGCAAGATCGAAACCGAATTTTTGTGGCAAAATCTCTCATCTAGGGGGTATTGTGTGGCTTTATGTCAAAGTGTAAAATCCTAGTGTTACAACCTTGATGTAAGTATTCTAATCCTCTAGCAATGCCGATTGCGATGTCATACAATGTTTTCACCCCTAGTTGACGGGATTTATCCGGAGATGTTCAATGGCAAATGAATTTATCCAACCAGCCATTGGGCATGAATTCGTAGATTAGATCTCTTATTGAGATCTCATAGCTGAAACCGACGAATGCCACTATATTGGCTTGGGAGGTTCTGCTAATGCTAGCTACTTCATTAACAATTTCCTTTCCACTTACCTTGGATTCACTGCGGACTTTTACTGCAACCAATCGGCCATCAGGTAATTTACCTTTATAAAGAAAACTCCAACGCAGATTATTAATGTATTTCTTGTTCTGTTGGCAATCATACCAGAAAGGGAATCATTTTCACTCCATAGAAACCCAAAGCCATTAACAAGGGTCACACGCAGAGTTGCTGAACTTGGGTTGTTTTCCAAAACCTGGAAAATTGAAGTAAATGCTGGAAGAATAACACTGCTACGACATGATCTCAACGTATCCTTTGCTGCAGTTGAGAGGTTGTAAAAGGCAGATGTGGCCACGAAGTAGCCCATGATGTCAGTTCCATTCTTGGTGCAATTGAACTGATGATTTGAAAGTCCTATCAACTGATTTGCATTCGTTGGACAATCATAATAAAGTGTTATGTTCTTGGTACTCGGAGCTGTGTGGAAAGGGCTAAGATTCGAAAAGGTGTTGACGAGGTGCCGGGGACAAAACACATTATAAGAACTATCCATTGGAGCAACATTGAAAGATCGAAGGGACAAATTGAATACAAGAACTAGGTAATTTTGTGAACTAACTGTAATCGTGGGATTACCACCCTCACAGCATAACTCACATCCCTGTTCGCCACAATACTCTGGCCTACCCCGTTGCCGAAGAGGATAACCGAGCTTTTGGATGATTCCACAATGAAATAGTTTGTTGTATTCTAGGGATTTTCTTATCGTCGCTGCTGAACAAACACACCAAACTTGTATAGACAAAAAGATTGTGAGTAGCCTAGCAAGGGGAAGGATCCTGAAACCTTGAGACATATTTGCAGCAAATTAAAGGCAAAAATAAATATAAAAGTTTGAAATAATTTTTGAAATATTAATTAATTAGTATTAATTTATTTTGAATAAACTTGTTTGAATTAAAACAATTATTTTATGATTAAACAAAATGTCAGAATGATTTAAAGTATATAATTATTCTAATAGTTTTAACCATTTGAAATGATTCGATAAATAAATTTATTTTTTAAATATCTTACTTATTAGATTTTAAAATATTATGAAATTAGTATTATTTTAATCGAAATAAGCTTGTATGAATAAAATAATTATTTTATGACAAAAGAAAAAGTTATAATGATTTGAAATAAATAATCATTCATATAATCTTAAATATTTGA